TGGGGAGAGGGGTTGACGTGGGGGAGGGGCTGATGTGGGGGAGGGGTTGATGTGGGGGGAGGGGTTAAAATGTGGGAGGGGTCGATATGAGGGGAGGGGCTGATGTGGGGGAGGGGCTGAAATGGGGGGGTGATGTGGGGGGAGGGGTTAAAATGTGGGAGGGGTCAATATGGGGAGAGGGGTTGACGTGGGGGAGGGGCTGATGTGGGGGAGGGGTTGATGTGGGGGGAGGGGTTAAAATGTGGGAGGGGTCAATATGAGGGGAGGGGTTGATGGGGGGAGGGGCTGGTATGGGGAAGGGGGGGTTGATGTTGGGGGAGGGGTTAAAATGGGGGAGGGGTCAATATGAGGGGAGGGGTTGATGGGGGGAGGGGCTGATATGGGGGGGTGGGGGGAGGGGCTAAAATGTGGGAGGGGTCAATCTGAGGGGTGGGGTTGATGTGGGGGAGGGGTTGATGTGGGGGGAGGGGTTAATACTGGTATGGGGGGGATGGGCACGGGAATGGGCCCCTCCCCCCCCCCCTTCCCCTCAGCGTTACCTTGGCGAGGCCGAAGGCGAGGAGGAGGAGGAGCAGGAGCCCCCCCACCCCTCCCCCCACATAGAGGGGCCTCGGGTCCAGCTCCCGGAGCAGCTCCACCTCCGTGACCCCCTATGGGGGGAGGGGGTGGGGTGAGAGGGGGGGGGGGGGAGGGGCTTCCCCTTTGCCCCTCCCCCCTCCGCTGTCCTTACCTGAGCCCGGAGGAAGCCGGGGGAGACCTCGAAGTGTGGGGGAGGGGAGACCCAGAGGGCGGAGCAAAAGTGGGGCCGGGAGGGGCTCTGGGGTGGGGGAGGGGGGGGATGTGTGGGGCTGGGGGGGGGACCCCCCCCCCAGCCCCACACATCCCCCCCCCCTCCCCCCCATCCCTCCCCCCACCCCAACCCAGCCCCCCATGTCCCAGCCCCATAAGTGGTACCTGGATGGCTTTGGGGGCGCTGAGGCTGGCGTGGAGGGAGAGCAGGATCGGGCCCGTGTGGGGCAGAGGCACCGTGGGGCAGTGGAGGAGGAGGAGGTGGGGGGTGGAGCAGGTCTGGGAAGGGGGGGGGGGTGGGAGGGTGAGGCCCTGCCCCATAGCGCCACACGTGCCCCATAACACCCCAAATATGGCTCCATGTGACCCATAGCATCCCTATATGTGGGTCACTTCATGCCGAAGCACCCCAGTATGGGGCCACGCACCCCACTATGACTCCCTGTGCCCCATAGCCCCCCATAATGTGTGGGTTACTGCACCCCATAGCAACCCAGTATGGATCGTACCACCCCATAGCCCCCCATAAGGATTCTTGGGCCCCATGGCATCCCAATGTGTGGGTCCTCCTGCCCCATAGCCCCTATATATTAGGGTTCTTCTCAGTCCATAGCCCCCCCAATGTGTGGGTCACCCCACAGTTCACCAGGATGGGAGTCCTCCCCGGCCCCATAACAGCACAGTACAGGTCCTCCTGCCCCATAGCAACCCACTATGAGTCCCCCTGCCCCCCCACCTCGGTGATGCTTCGCCGCAGCTCCTGCCCCACGGCGTCTTCCTTCTCCTGCCCCACGGCAACACAGGCGCCACCTGGCTCCTATGGGGCAGGGGAAAAGTGTGGGGCAAGAACCTTTCCCCCCAACCAACCCCTTTTATTTGGGGGGGGGGGGGGTGCTATGGGGCAGGGGCTCCGCTCACCACTTGCACTTGTGGGTCAGACACCATCACGCCATGGGGCAGCTCGAGGGGCAGGAGGACAAACAGCGTCAGCAGTGGCTGGGGGCTGCCATGGGGCAGAGGCACCAGGTTCTCCAGCTGTGTGGGGCAGAGCTGTGGGTCAGTGCTACGGTGTGGGATGGGGATGGGGGCAGAAGGGGCTGGTTGTGGGGCTCACCCTATAGCGGTGCTGCAGCGTCTTGTTTTGGGGGTAGTGAGAGGTGAAGTTGAGGTAGGGGGTGGAGGCCTCGTCCCTGTGTGGGGCAGAGACTTCAGTGGGGCAGCAGTGGGGCTGAGGGGGTTTTCTATGGGGCAGGGATGTGTGGGGCTCACCAGGTGACCACAAGGTTGAGGGCGAAGGAGACGGGGACATCCCAAGAGACTGCGTTGTCCCCCATGGTGCCGTGGGGCTCATTGTCACTATGGGGCAGGGGGGACGCACAGGGGGGGTCACCCCTCCATAGAGCCCCATAGCCACCCCCTTGTCTCTGCCCCATAGATCCCACCTGCTGACAGCGGCGCTCAGCCCCACGGATTCCCCCCATGAGGCGTTGGGGTGGATGTGGAACATCAGCTCCACCGTCACCTGGTGTGGGGGGGGGGGGGAAGGTGACTTATGGGGCACTGCCCCACACCTCGCCCCACACCCTGCCCCATAGCTCACCTCCCAGCCCGCGCCTAGCAGGGGCCGGCTGATGTTGCAGCTCAGGCCCCACGGTTGCCCCACGGTGTCCCAGCAGGTGCTGGACAGGAGGGCGCCGGCCTATGGGGAGATGTGGGGTAGGGATCTATGGGGCCCACAAGACAGACCCCCCCCCCCGTGTGTCCCCCCATAGCATCCAATGGGGGGTGCCCCACACTCACCCGCGTGGCCTGCACCCGGCGGAAGGAGAGCCCCATGGGGAGCTGCACTTGTAGGGCTGCCCCATAGGCGTCTTCGCCCGTGTTCCCCACAACCAAACGCACCCCGAGTTCGGCTTCGGGGACCCCCAGCAGCGCTGCCCCCCCCGGCAGCGCCCGGACCCCCAAGTCGGCCTCACACACCTCATCTGCCCCACAGCTCTTCTCAAAGGGGATCTATGGGGTGGAAAAGTGGGGCGGGGAGGGTGGACTTTAGGCTCCGCACCCCCTCCCTTGACCCACATTTGAGCCCCATGGCAAAACCCCGCTACCTCAATCCAGGTGGTGGAGGTGTGGGGCCGCAATATGGGGCCCGGGGGGTCGCTATGGGGCAGGGAGATGGTGAGCAAGAGGCGGATGGGGGTCACGAAGTCCTCGATGCAGGGCTGGAAGAGTTGGGTCACAAATGTGGAGCGCCCCATAAGTGGAGACCCCAATAGGGCTGAGCTTCCCTATGGGGTTGCCCATAAGTGGGGGTGTCCCTATGGGGCTGTGCTCTGCAATAGGGTCAGCACCCCCCTTCCCAGCTTTGCCCCATAAGTGGGGGGCAGTCCACAACTACACCCCATAAGTGAGTGTTTACACCCCCCAACTCACCCCCCAAGTGTGGGTCACCCCAACCCCCACGTCTGAATGGCCTTCCCTCCCCCCTGATGTGGGTCCCTCCCCCCAAGTGTGGGTCCCTCCCCCCAAGTGTGGGTCCCCTCCCCCAACGTGTGGGTCCCTCCCCTCAAGTGTGGGTCCCACCCCTCAAGTGTGGGTCCCTCCCCCCAAGTGTGGGTCCCACCCCTCAAGTGTGGGTCCCTCCCCCCAAGTGTGGGTCCCTCCCCCCAAGTGTGGGTCCCACCCCTCAAGTGTGGGTCCCTCCCCCCAAGTGTGGGTCCCTCCCCCCAAGTGTGGGTCCCACCCCTCAAGTGTGGGTCCCTCCCCCCAAGTGTGGGTCCCTCCTCCCAAGTGTGGGTCCCTCCCCTCAAGTGTGGGTCCCTCCTCCCAAGTGTGGGTCCCACCCCTCAAGTGTGGGTCCCTCCCCCCAAGTGTGGGTCCCACCCCTCAAGTGTGGGTCCCTCCCCTCAAGTGTGGGTCCCTCCCCTCAAGTGTGGGTCCCTCCCCCCAAGTGTGGGTCCCACACCAAGTGTGGGTCCCTCCCCCCAAGTGTGGGTCCCACCCCTCAAGTGTGGGTCCCTCCCCCCAAGTGTGGGTCCCTCCCCTCAAGTGTGGGTCCCTCCTCCCAAGTGTGGGTCCCACACCAAGTGTGGGTCCCCTCCCCCAACGTGTGGGTCCTGCCCCCCACGTGTGGGTCCGCACCTGCAGGCTCAGCTCCTCCTCCTCGCAGGCCCCCTCCTCGGAGGGGTGGAGCCTCCCGGACCAGCCCCGCCCCTCCCGGAACTGGCCCCGCCCCCGCGCCCGCTGCGGCTCCGCCTCCAGCAGGAAGTTCACCGGGGTCACCAGGTCACCTGGAGGGCAAGGGGTCAAGGCGGGGTCAAGGTCAAGGTGAGGTCAGGGGATGGGACCAGGGTGGGTTCAAGGAGAGGTCAGGGGGCGGGGACAAGGTGAGGTCAGAGACAGGGTCAAGGTGAGGTCAGGGTGGGGTCAAGGTGAGGTCAGGGTCGGGGTCAAGGTGAGGTTGGGGCAGGGTCAAGGTGAGGTCAGGAATGGGGTCAAGGGGAGGTCGCGGCGGGGTCAAGGTGAGGTCAGGGTGGGGTCAAGGTGAGGTCAGGGTCAAGATGAGGTCAGGGATGGGGTCAAGGTGAGGTCAGGGTGGGGACAAGGTGAGGTCAGGGTCAAGATGAGGTCAGGGATGGGGTCAAGGTGAGGTCAGGGGGGTCAAGGTGAGGTCAGGGCGGGGTCAAGGTGAGGTCAGGGATGGGGTCAATGTGAGGTCAGGGATGGGGTCAAGGTGAGGTCAGGGATGGGGTCACGGTGAGGTCAGGGTGGGGTCACGGTGAGGTCAGGGGGCGGGGCCCCACCCAGGCAGAGCCGGATGCTGACGCTGCCCCCACCCCCGGAGCACTGGAGCCAATGGGGCGGGATCTGCTGCGGGTCAAAGGTCACCACGGGGGCAATGGAGAGCACGGGGCGGGACCTGGGGGAGGGGCCGTGGGGTGACATCATCGTCCTGTGTCCCCACATCCCCACCCCACGGCCCTGAACCCCTCCCCCATCCTTGGCCCCATCCCCACCCCCACACCTCCATCACCAGCCCCACGGCGTCGACCCCGGCCCCATGGCGCCATCTCCCCCCCTTTGACCCATCCCACGCCCCCAGACCCTTTCCCTGTCCCCATCCCCACGGCGCACCCCACGTCCCCAGCTCTATGGCCCCACCACACGTCCCCAACTCCACCCCACTCACCCCCACCCCCGTGTCCCCACCTCTATCCCTGCATCCCCATCTCCCCACATCCCCATCTCCCCACATCCCTCCCCACTTCCCCACCTCCATCTCCCCACCCGTCCCCATCCCCACATCCCCACCTCCATCCCAACCTCCCTCCCCACATCCCCATCTCCCCATCCCATGGCCCCATCCCAACCCCACCCCACATCCCCATCTCCCCATCTCCCCATCCTCACCTCCATCCCCAGATCCCCATCCCCACCTCCATCTCCCCACCCCTGTCCCCATCCCCACCTCCATCTCCCCACCCCTGTCCCCATCCCCACCTCCCTCCCCATCTCCCCACCTCCATCCCCATCTCCATCCCCATCCCCACATCCCCACCCCTGGCCCCACATCCCCATCTCCCCATCCATGGCCCCATCCCCACGGCCCCATCCCCATCTCCCTCTCCCCCTCCCCCCATCCCCATCTCCCCATCCCCACCTCCCCTCCCCCATCTCCCCACCCCTGTCCCCATCCCCACTTCCCCACCTCCCTCACCACCTTCCCCCCTCCATCCCCACCTCCCCATCTCCCCACCTCCATCTCCACCTCCCCACCTCCATCCCCACATCCCCATCTCCCCACCTCCATCCCCACCTCCCTCCCCACATCCCCATCTCCCCATCCCTGGCCCCATCCCATGGCCCCATCCCCTTTCCCCATCCCCACCTCCCTCCCCACATCCCCATCCCCACCTCCCCACCTCCATCCCCACATCCCCATCTCCCCACCTCCCTCCCCACCTCCATCCCCACCTCCATCCCCATATCTCCCATCTCCCCACCCCTCCCCACCTCCATCTCCCCATCCCCTTTCCCCATCCCCACATCCCCCCTCCCCCCAGCCCCACCTCCCCAGCCCCATCCCCAGCCCCACCTGAGCACCACCACTGCTCCTCCTGCTCCCACCCCCATCCCCCCCCCCAGCCCCACATCCCCCCTCCAGCCCCACATCCCCAGCCCCACCTGAGCACCACCACTGCTCCTCCTCCCACCACCACGCCCCCAGCCCCACATCCCCCCCCCAGCCCCACATCCCCCCCCAGCCCCACCTGAGCACCACCACTGCTCCTCCAGCTCCCACCACCACGTCCCCCCCCCAGCCCCACATCCCCCCCCCAGCCCCACATCCCCCCCCAGCCCCACATCCCCAGCCCCACCTGAGCACCACCACTGCTCCTCCTCCCACCACCACCTCCGCCCCACCCCACATCCCCCCCCAGCCCCACATCCCCCCCCGCCCCACATCCCCCCCCCCAGCCCCACATCCCCAGCCCCACCTGAGCACCACCACTGCTCCTCCTGCTCCCACCACCACATCCCCCCCCCCAGCCCCACATCCCCATCCCCACCTGAGCACCACCACTGCTCCTCCTGCTCCCACCACCACGTCCCCCAGCCCCACATCCCCCCCCCGCCCCACATCCCCCCCCCCCCTTCCAGCGCCCTCCCGCCCCACATTCCCCCCCCCAGCCCCACATCCCCATCCCCACCTGAGCACCACCACTGCTCCTCCTGCTCCCACCACCACATCCCCCCCCCAGCCCCCCATCCCCAGCCCCACCTGAGCACCACCACTGCTCCTCCAGCTCCCACCACCACGTCCCCCAGCCCCACATCCCCCCCCCAGCCCCACATCCCCAGCCCCACCTGAGCACCACCACTGCTCCTCCAGCTCCCACCCCCATCCCCCCCCCAGCCCCACATCCCCCCCCCAGCCCCACATCCCCCCCCCCAGCCCCACCTGAGCACCACCACTGCTCCTCCTGCTCCCACCACGATCCCCCCCCAGCCCCACATCCCCCCCCAGCCCCCCAGCACCACCACTGCTCCTCCAGCCCCACCATCCCCCCCAGCCCCACATCCCTCACCCCAGCCCCACATCCCCCCCCCCACCTGAGCACCACCACTGCTCCCCCAGCTCCCCCCCCCAGCCCCACATCCCCCCCCCAGCCCCACATCCCCAGCCCCACCTGAGCACCACCACTGCTCCTCCTGCTCCCACCCCCATCCCCCCCCAGCCCCACATCCCCAGCCCCACATCCCCCCCCCAGCCCCACCTGAGCACCACCACTGCTCCTCCTGCTCCCACCACCACATCCCCCCCAGCCCCACATCCCCCCCCCCAGCCCCACATCCCCAGCCCCACCTGAGCACCACCACTGCTCCTCCTGCTCCCACCACCACGTCCCCCAGCCCCACATCCCCCCCCCAGCCCCACATCCCCAGCCCCACCTCCATCCCCACCTCCCCAGCCCCACATCCCCCCCCCAGCCCCACATCCCCAGCCCCACCTGAGCACCACCACTGCTCCTCCTGCTCCCACCACCACGTCCCCCAGCCCCACATCCCCCCCCCCAGCCCCACATCCCCAGCCCCACCTCCATCCCCACCTCCCCAGCCCCACATCCCCCCCCCAGCCCCACATCCCCAGCCCCACCTGAGCACCACCACTGCTCCTCCAGCTCCCACCACCACTGCTCCTCCTGCTCCCACCACCACGTCCCCCAGCCCGTCCCCGTTCAGGTCCATGGCTCCGGCCAGCGCCTGCCCGAAGAACCTCAGCCCCGGGGCCACCTCCTGCCCCTCCAGGCGCTGTGGGGGGGGGACACCACAAATGACATCACCCAACGCCCCCCCCCAGACCCCCCCAACCCCATGGCCCCACGGCCCCACCTGGCTGTAGAGGGGCTGCAGCCCCCCCGGCCGCCCGGAGAAGATGTAAACCACCCCTCGCTCCTCATCCTCCATGGGGGCCCCCACGGCCACCTCGGGGAGCTCGTCCCCATCCAGGTCACCCAAGGCGCTCAGAGAGGCCCCAAAGCGACCCAAGGGGTGACCGGGGGCTCCCCAAAGCTCCTCAGCCGCCTTCAGGGCCTCCTGGGGGAAGGAGGACAGAAAGGGGGGGTCCCAGAGGGATGAGGACCCCTCGGTCATTGAGATCACCCGGGTTGGGGTCACGTTGCCATGGGGTCCTCCCGGTGGCCCCATGGGTCTGCGTTGGGGTCACCAAGGCAACCCCAGCCCCATGGGACTCAGGGTGCAGGGCCCAGGGCCTTGGTTTGGGGTCGCCTTGGTCACCCCTGGTCACCTCCAGCCCATGCTCCTCAGCTTAGGGTCACCCCATTCCCATCCCATGGCTTGGTGCCCCCATGATGGTGCCCCCATGGTGGTGCCCCCATGGCGGTGTCCCCAAGGGGGTGTCCCCAAGGTGATGTCCCCATGGTGCTGCCCCCATGGTGGTGTCCCCATGGTGGTGCCCCTATGATGGTGCCCCCATGGTGATGTCCCCATGATGGTGTCCCGATGGTGGTGTCCCCCATGGTGATGTCCCCATGATGGTGCCCCCATGGTGGTACCCCCATGGTGATGTCCCCATGGTGATGTCCCCATGGTGGTGTCCCCATGGTGGTGCCCCCATGGTGGTGTCCCCATGGTGGTGCCCCTATGGTGGTGTCCCCATGGTGGTGTCCCCATGGTGATGTCCCCATGATGGTGTCCCCATGGGGGTGTCCCCAAGGTGATGTCCCCAAGGTGGTGCCCCTATGATGGTGCCCCCACGGTGGTGCCCCCACGGTGGTGTCCCCATGGGTGATGTCCCCATGGTGGTGCCCCTATGATGGAGCCCCCATGGTGCTGCCCCCATGGTGGTGTCCCCATGGGGGTGTCCCCAAGGTGGTGTCCCCATGATGGTGTACCCATGGTGGTGCCCCCATGGTGGTGCCCCCATGATGGTGCTCCCAATGGTGGTGTCCCCATGGTGGTGCCCCCCATGGTGATGTCCCCATGATGGTGTCCCCATGGGGGTGTCCCCATGATGGTGCCCCCATGATGGTGTCCCCATGGTGCTGCCCCCCATGGTGCTGCCCCCATGGTGCTGCCCCCATGATGGTGCCCCCATGGTGCTGCCCCCATGGTGCTGCCCCCATGATGGAGCCCCCATGGTGGTGTCCCCAAGGTGGTGTCCCCATGATGGTGCCCCCATGATGGTGCCCCCATGGTGCTGCCCCCATGGTGCTGCCCCCATGGTGATGTCCCCATGGTGGTGCCCCCATGGTGGTGTCCCCAAGGTGATGTCCCCATGATGGTGCCCCCATGGTGCTGCCCCCATGGTGCTGCCCCCATGGTGATGTCCCCATGGTGATGCCCCCACAGTGCTGTCCCCATGGTGCTGCCCCCATGGTGCTGCCCCCTCACCTCCTGCCACCGGTAGAGCTGCACCCGTCCCCCACGGCGCCCATCGAAGTGGTTGGGGGCTCCCACCAGCAGCGCCACCGCCCCCCCGCCCTGCTCCAGCCCGCACAGGGTGGCCCCGAAGTAGGAGCCCACCTGAGGAGACCCCAACATCAGCACCATGGGGAGGAGGGGGGGGGGCGGGGAGGCCCGGACCCCCCTCCCCCCCCCCTTTACCTGCTCCCCAGGGAGGGTCTGCAGCGCCCGCCAGCCCCCAGCGCCAGCGGGGGGCACCTCGAAGAGGACGACGGCGCCCACGTGGCGGTGCCGGGGGGCACCCGCAGCCACCAGCGCCCGCCCGGGGACCTGCAGCCCGGCCACCGCATAGCCTGGGGGCACCGGGACAAGCTGGGTGTCAGCGTGGGGGCACTGCGGGAACATCCATCAGGCCAGGCACCCATCGCTCATCAGCCATCGGCGAGCGTCCATCATCAATCCATCATCCATCATCAATCCATCATCAATCCATCATCCATCCATCCATCCATCATCCATCCATCATCCATCCATCCATCATCCATCCATCATCCATCCATCCATCCATCCATCCATCCATCCATCATCCATCCATCCATCCATCCATCCATCATCCATCCATCCATCCATCCATCCATCCATCATCATCCATCCATCCATCATCCATCATCCATCCATCCATCATCCATCCATCATCCATCATCCATCCATCATCCATCCATCATCCATCATCCATCCATCATCCATCCATCCATCCATCCATCCATCATCCATCATCAATCCA